CCCAGGTTGGACCTGCCATCTGAGCCCAAACCCACGTGTTCAGCTGCCTTCTTCAAACATCACTTGGATGTCTTAACCACACCCACACTGAACTCTAGACACCCCCCAACCCACCTGCCCAGAAACCCAGGGGTTCCTCTCTACAGTAACCCCCATTCTGGCCCCTCCACTCCCCTTTTGCCTCTGCACTGACAGGGTTCCTTCTGCCCTTCACTCCCCTCCCATCTATTCTTCACACACTGGTCAGTGCCTTTGTTTAGGATTTTGGGTTTTTTCCTAAGAGTGGTAGGAAAAACCCAAAATCCTAAACGAAGCTGGTCAGGGGAGGCCTCCATACTGGCCAGCCTCCCTCTCCAGCCACCTGCCCTCCTCTGCTTGATGCTCCCAATTCTGAACCTTTTTCCTTTTTTTTTTTTTTTTTTTTTTTTTTTTTTTTTTAGACAGAGTCCCACTCTGTCGCCCAGGCTGGAGCACAGTAGTAGCAAGATCTCAGATCTCAGCTCACTGCAACCTCTGCCTCCCAGATTCAAGTAATTCTCCCTGCCACAGCCTCCTGAGTAGCTGGGATTATATGCACCTGCCACCACACTCCCAGTCTAATTTTTGTAAAAACTCCAAACCTTCCAACACCAGGTTCCCTCCACCTAGAACATTATTTAGCTTACCATAATTAGGCAACTGCTTTCATCCCAAACAAACTAGGTCCTCCAAACTCTCCATAAGACCATAAACCTTTCTTTCAAATCCCTCATAAGTTTCTAGGGGTTTTTTGTTTTTTGAGATGGAGTTTTGCTCAGCCTGTTGCCCATGCTGGAGTGCAATGGTGGGTTATTGACTCACTGCAACTTCCACTTCCTGGGTTCAAGCAATTCTCCTGCCTCAGCCTCCCGAGTAGCTGGGATTACAGGCGTGTGCCACCATGCCCAGCTAATTTTTTTTTTTTTTTTTTTTTTTGAGGAGGAGTTTCGCTCATTACCCAGGCTGGAGTGCAATGGTGCGATCTCGGCTCACCACAACCTCCGCCTCCTGGATTCAGGCAATTCTCCTGCCTCAGCCTCCTGAGTAGCTGGGATTACAGGCACGTGCCACCATGCCCAGCTAATTTTTTTGTATTTTTAGTAGAGACGGGGTTTCACCATGTTGACCAGGATGGTCTCGATCTCTTGACCTCGTGATCCGCCCGCCTCGGCCTCCCAAAGTGCTGGGATTACAGGCTTGAGCCACCGCGCCCGGCCTAATTTTGTATTTTTAGTAGAGATGGGGTTTCTCCATGTTGCTCAGGCTGGTCTCAAACTCCTGACCTCAGGTGATCCACCTGCCTCCACCTCCCAAAGTCCTGGGATTACAGGCATGAGCCACTGCACCCAGCCTCTGTTTTTTGGGGTTTGTTTTTGAGACAGAGTCTTGCTCTATTGTCCAGGCTGAAATGCAGGGGTGTGATCTTGGCTCACTGCAACCCCTGCCTCCCAGGTTCAAGCGATTTTCCCGCCTCAGCCTCCCAAGTAGCTGAGACTCAGGCATGCACCACCACATCTGGCTAATTTTTTTTGTATATTTAGTAGAGACTGGTTTTCACCATGTTGGTCAGGCTGGGTGACAGAGTGAGTCTCTGTTAAAGAAAAAAAAAAAAAAAAAAGACTCAGTCATTAAAAGAATATTCCCAGCCAGGTGTGGTGATGCACACCTGTGGTCCCAGCTACCTGAGAGGCTGAGGCAGAACTGCTTGAGCACAGGAGTTTGATAACCAGCCTGGGCAACACAGCAAGATCCTCCTCTCTATCTTATTTTTCCTCTTTCTGTTACCATATGAAGTCCCTCTTTATTTAAAAACAAAAAAGAACATTCCCAAGTGGGAGCAGAAAGCACGAACACCTTCCACCAAGAAAAAGCTTGGAGAGCCATAGGTTTACTGGTTCAAAAGAACAAGGTACAAAATATCCTGAAATCAGGCTAAATGGTGAGCAGAGCCAGGTTCAGAGGAGGAAAGCTGGGTTTTATTTTTAGTGCATTGGAAAGCCACTGAGGGGTTTCAGGCAGAAAACAGTGCTGTAGCCAGATTTTAATTCTTTTTTTTTTTTTTTTTTTTTTTTTTTTTTTGAGACGGAGTTTCGCTCTTGTTACCCAGGCTGGAGTGCAATGGCACGATCTCAGCTCACCGCAACCTCCGCCTCCTGGGTTCAGGCAATTCTCCTGCCTCAGCCTCCTGAGTAGCTGGGATTACAGGCACACGCCACCATGCCCAGCTAATTTTTTGTATTTTTAGTAGAGACGGGGTTTCACCATGTTGACCAGGATGGTCTCGATCTCTTGACCTCGTGATCCACCCGCCTTGGCCTCCCAAAGTGCTGGGATTACAGGCTTGAGCCACCGTGCCCGGCCCTCTTTTTTTTTTTTTTAAGACAAGAGTCTCACACTGTTGTCCAGGCTGTAGTGAGTGATGTGACCTCGGCTCACTGAAATCTCCACCTCCCAGGTTCAAGTGATTCTCCTGCCTCACCCTCCCGAGTAGCTGGGATTACAGGTGTGCACCACCATGCACAGCTAATTTTTTTGTATTTTTAGTAGAGACGGAGTTTCACCATGTTGAGAATGGTCTCAATCTCCTGACCTCGTGATTTGCCTGCCTCAGCCTCCCAAAGTGCTGGGATTACAGGTGTAAGCCACTGCACCCGGCCGAATTTTAATTTTTTTTTGAGATGGAGTTTCGCTCTTGTTACCCAGGCTGGAGTGCAATGGCGCAATCTCGGCTCACCGCAATCTCTGCCTCCTGGGTTCAGGCAATTCTCCTGCCTCAAGACTCCCGAGTACCTGGGACTACTGGCACTCGCCACCATGCCCAGCTAATTTTTTGTACTTTTAGTAGAGACAGGGTTTCACCTTATTGACCAGGATGGTCTCGATCTCCTGACCTCGTGATCCACCCGTCTCGGCCTCCCAAAGTGCTGGGATTACAGGCGTGAGCCACTGTGCCCAGCCCGGATTTTAATTTTTAAGAGTCACACTTGTTGCAGGTTCGAGCACAAATTGGACAGAGACAAAAACACGGACAAGGGAGCCCAGACAGGAAGGTTTTACACAAATCCAGGCCAGAGACAACGGTGGCCTAGACCAGAGAAAATGGAGAACAGATGAATTCAAGTGATATTCCGGTGGTATAACTGATGGAATTCTGAGTGTTGAGAGTGGGGCTTCACTATAGCTGCACTAAGCTTTTGCCTTTGATTGAACAATGTCGCCATTTTCCAAGATGGGAAAGACTGGGGTTTAAGCAGAAAAATGATGAGTTCCACTTTATATATGTTAAATGAGATGTTTATGTAACACCTGGTGGATGTCAAGAGAGCAGCTGGATATGTAAAGTAGATTTGGAGGACAGATCTCAGATGGAGGTGCAAATCTGGTAGTTCTAATACAGAAGAGATTTAAAATCATAGGAGTAAATAACACTGTTTAGGAGAAATGTATCAGAAGGTGACCCAGGTCCTGTCCTGAGGAACTCAACACTTAAAGACTGGATAGAAGAGAAAAAGCAGGAAATAAAATGGGGGGAAAATCCTACCACCATGTTTCCAAAAGGAACGAGTGGCCAATCCCACAAATGCTAATTTGAATAAGATGACACTGGAAGTGTCGCTTGGATTTAGTAGGATGGAGATCACCGTTGATCAAGACAATAAACATTTAAGTGTAATGGAACCCAGATTGAGATAGGTTGAGGAATGAAAATGAAGCGCAGAAATGGAGCAGAAAGCTTAACAGAGGTCCAGACAGGGCTGTCAAATATGGAAGAAAGACTAAACGCTGACAGGATGGAGCATGGCAACAGCTTGAAATTGGTTTGAAAATCCAAGATTAAAAATCCCTCTGACATCGTGATCCAGAACCGTGAAACACACAAGCATGCACCAATAACTGAAACAAAAGCGATAATGCTTTCTAGTCTATTCCATTCCGCTAAAAAAATGCTGGTCATCACCCACTGAATCATTCGCAGCTCGCTGACGGGTAGAGACCTGCAATGACAGCTACACGCTAATCTAACAAGGGATGATTTGGGGAGGTAGAGATGGAGTTTGAAAAGCAGCAGCGAGCCCGAGAATCAGCGCGCCCAGAGCGCCAGATGGCCACCGGCGTGGAGGCGGCTGGGGGCCCACAGCCCCGAGACCAGAGCCCCCGCCCCGCAGCCCCACCCGCCTACCCACCCCGCGCCACTCCCCCGCCGCCCTTACCTCCTCCAGATACTCGCCCAGCTGGGCAGCCACGTCCACCTCCCAGTTCTTGGTGAGGTCGCGGATGGGCTGCAAGAGGTGGGCGAAGCGCGCCTCCACATCCTCCATGTCCGGGAGGGACCGGGCAGCAAAGGTATCGCAGGGCTACCTTCAGAGGGGTACGGTGTCCTCAACCAGCCACTATTTCTGGCGCCATTTTGCTGTTCCCGCCCAGGAAAGTGCGTAGACGCGGTGCCGCGCGCATGCCTATGACGTAACGTGGGCCGAAGCCGCGGGAGGCGGTCCCCCGCGCTGCGCGGAGGGAGCGAACCGGAAAAGTCGCGGGGCGGGGCCGGGTCGGGCGGGCTCCGGGGCCGGAGCCAGCAGGAGGTGGGCGGGGCTTGGGGGGGGCGCTGCCGCGGGTTTGGAGGGGCGGAGTTTTCGGGCCGACGGGGGATAGGGAGGGACGGGGCGGTGCCTGGGGCTGCCGCGGGCGGGAAGGTGAGGAGGCGGGGCCTGGGGCTGCCCCGGGCGGGAAGGTGAAGGTGGGGCCTGGAGTTGCAGCCGGCGGGGTGGGGCGGGGCGGGGCGGGGCCTGGAGCTGCCGCGGGCGGGCGGGAAGGTGAGGAGGCGGAGCCTGGGGCTGCAGCCGGCGGGGTGGGGCGGGGTGGAGCGGGGCGGGGCGGGTCGGGGCCTGGAGCTGCCGCGGGCGGGCGGGAAGGTGAGGAGGCGGAGCCTGGGGCTGCAGCCGGCGGGGTGGGGCGGGTGGGGCGGGGGGGCGGGGCGGGGCGGGGCCTGGAGCTGCCGCGGGCGGGCGGGCGCTGCTTCAGCGGGCCGCGCAGCGGACATGGCGGGCTCTCGGCTTCCGCGGCAGCTCTTCCTCCAGGGTGTGGCGGCCGTCTTCATGTTCGCCTTCGCTTCCCTCTACACGCAGATCCCAGGTGAAGGCACCCAGGGCGGGACACCCCTAGCCTCGGTCCGGGACCCTACGTCCTCTTTTCCCAGCACCCGGCACTCACGCCGTCTGGGGTTGGGAGTGAGGTCCAGGCCTTGACGTGGGGTAGGGGTGGCGGTTCGTGTCCTGCAGGCCGCTGTGGGGGCAGGAAGATGTGCAGTGATCCATTTCCCGTAAGGCTCTGGATTCCGATCTGGGGTAGGGGACAGAACTCGGAGGGAGGTGGGAGAGAGGCTTCCTCCCAGACCTGGTGGGGCTGAGACCTGGAAGCGGACAGTGAGCTCTGCCGAGGAGGAGGCCCTGACCCAGCTTGTTGGGCAGGCCTCTAGCCCTGGACGGGGCTTTTGACAGGTGCTGAAGGGTCGGTTGCGGGGCGGGGACGGGGTCTAGAGGGACTGTGAACCCTAACTGGGGGTGAAGGTATGCACAGGCCCTGACCTAGGCTGGGGTGTCCGCAGGCCCTGACTCAGAGGTAGTCTAGCCTGCAAGGGGTGTCCACGGCCTGGCTGTGACGTCCCCTCCCACAGGCCTGTACGGTCCCGAGGGCATCCTGCCTGCAAGGAGGATGCTGCGGCCGCAGGGCAAGGGGCGCTGGCAGCAGCTGTGGGAGACCCCGACACTGCTGTGGGAAGCGCCGAGACTGGGGCTGGACACGGCCCAGGGCCTGGAGCTGCTGAGCCTGCTGGGTGCACTGCTGGCCCTGGGGGCCCTGCTGCTGAGCCCACTGCGCCACCCCGCTGTCTTCCTGCTGCTTTGGGCTGCCTACTTGTCGGCCTGCCAGGCAAGTGGGACCCCTGTCACCAGCTCACTCCACCCCCCATGCCACCTACCCTGCCTCTGCCTTACCTGAGTCCATAGACACACCCGCTCCCTGACAGCTCCTCTCTCTGCAGGTGGGCCAGGTGTTCCTTTATTTCCAGTGGTGAGTGACCGCTGGGCCTGGGGCAGCAGGAGGCTGGGTGGGGGTGGGGGAGACTCTGCCTCTCCTGGGAGGACCCTCTGAGGGAAGCAGCTGCCTGGGGAGGGGCTCTTGATGCTATTTTCTCTCCCCATAGGGACTCCCTGCTGCTGGAGACTGGCTTCCTGGCAGTGCTGGTGGCCCCACTGAGGCCAGCCTTCCACCGAAAGCAGGCCCCCCAGCGTGGGCAGGCAGGGGCCCTGCCCCATGAAGGCCTCCCCTTCTGGCTGGTGCGCTGGCTGCTGTTCCGCCTCATGTTCGCCTCAGGCGTGGTCAAGCTTACCAGCCGCTGCCCGGCGTGGTGGGGGCTCACTGGTGAGGGACCCGGCCTGGACCTGGGGCGGTCTGGGGCTCTGCCAGCCCTGACTCCCACCCTTACCTGCAGCCCTCACCTACCACTACGAGACCCAGTGCCTGCCCACACCTGCCGCCTGGTTCGCACATCACCTGCCCGTCTGGCTGCACAAACTCAGCGTGGTGGCCACCTTCCTCATCGAGATTGCTGTGCCGCCCCTGTTCTTTGCCCCCATTCGACGCCTGCGCTTGGCCGCCTTCTACTCGCAGGTGGGTGGGGGCTGAAGCTGTCAGAGACAGGAGGACAGGGCTCGGCCTTCAGCGCTGCTCAGTGTGTCCTGTTAGGGACAGTGTGGCCTTCAGGGATAGGTGACGACCGCTGTTGGGAAGGTGTTGTAGCAGAGGGAGGCACCCCGCAGGGTGGAGGTGTGTGCCTGCCTGCCAAGGTCGGGCTGTGCCATGGGGCAGGGCATCAGTCTCCGGGAGCGCTGAGAGCCTGGCTGCCCCCAGGTGCTGCTGCAGGTGCTGATTATCATTACCGGTAACTACAACTTCTTCAACCTGATGACCCTGGTGCTCACCACTGCCCTTCTGGACGACCAGCATCTGGCTGCAGAGCCTGGCCATAGCAGCCGCAAGAAGACAGCCATGTGTGTGTATCGGCCAGCCTGGGCCTGCTCTCCCCAGCCCCCTGCCCTCCCAGAGGGGTGGGTGGCACTCTAGCTGCACCCCAGTCCCTTGGCTGGGGACCCCTGCTGACCCATGACTATCCGGCCCCACAGCCCGGCCCAAGGCCCTGCTGGCCACACTGTCGCTGCTGCTGGAACTAGCCATCTACGGGTTTCTGGCCTATGGCACCGTGCACTACTTTGGCCTGGAGGTTGACTGGCAACAGCGCACTGTCCACTCCAGAACCAGTGAGTGCCGGCTGGGGTGGGCCAAAGGGCAGGGGCGGACCAGTCCTCACACCCCACTCCTCCCCAGCTTTCACCTTCCACCAGTTCTCTCAGTGGCTGAAGACACTGACGCTGCCCACCGTGTGGCTGGGTGTAGCCTCCCTGGCCTGGGAGCTGCTGAGTGCCCTCTGGAGGTACATGGCCCAGAAATCAGGGAGGGGCATAGGTGTGCAGGCTGGGCCTGACGTCCTTGGGTCCCTGCCCACAGGTGGACCCAGGTGCGGGGCTGGCTGCGGAAGCTCAGTGCTGCAGTCCAACTGTCCCTCGTGGGCACTGCCACCGTGGCCTTGTTCCTGATCAGCCTGGTGGGTAGCACTTTGGGGGCTGGGGGCAGGCCGGGGGCAGGGCAGCTCTGAGGACACCTACCACCTCCAGGTGCCGTACTCCTACGTGGAACCGGGGACCCACGGGCGCCTTTGGACTGGGGCCCACCGTCTATTTGGCACCGTGGAGCACCTGCAGCTGGCCAACTCCTACGGCCTCTTCCGCCGTATGACCGGGCTTGGTGGGCGGCCCGAGGTGGTGCTGGAGGGCAGCTACGATGGCCACCACTGGACGGTGAGCTCTCCCAGGGCGGGCAGGGTGGGGTCCACGTCAGCTGCCCAGCTGACCCTGGCCTGCCTGGCAGGAGATCGAGTTCATGTACAAGCCTGGGAACCTGAGCCGGCCACCCCCAGTCGTGGTGCCCCACCAACCTCGCCTGGACTGGCAAATGTGGTTTGCAGCCCTGGGCCCGCACACACACAGCCCATGGTTCACAAGCCTGGTCCTGCGCCTGCTGCAGGGCAAGGAGCCAGGTGCGCAGCGAGGCAGGGAGGGGTGGGGAGGGGAGGGAGACGAGAGGGGGCGGGGAGGGCACTGCAGGGAGTCATGTTGACCCCTCTCCCCACAGTGATCCGCCTCGTCCAGAGCCAAGTGGCCAGGTATCCCTTCCACAAGCAGCCACCCACCTACCTCCGAGCCCAGCGCTACAAGTACTGGTTCTCTCAGCCTGGGGAGCAGGGGTAAGGCCGGGATGCCGGGTGGGGTATGGGAGCCCGGGGTGCTACCAGGCTCTGAACATCACATCCTGCTGCAGCCAGTGGTGGCGGCGCCAGTGGGTGGAGGAGTTCTTCCCACCCGTATCCCTGGGGGACCCAGTGCTGGAGACGCTGCTCAGGCAATTTGGGCTGCAGGTAAGGGAGTGTCACCCGGGCTGGAGGAGGTGGCAGGGGTGACCCCAGCCTGCTGGGGTGAACCCAGTGAGTACTTCCTCAACCTCACTCCCACAGGACAAGAACCCACCCCGGGCCCGTGGCGCCAACAGCACCCTGGCCCAGGCCCTCCACTGGACACGTACTCAGCTGTCTCCCTTGGAGGCCCCTTCCCTGCTCTGGGGGCTCCTCATGGCTGTGGGGGCTGTCAGAGTTGTGCAGGCCCTGCTAGCACCCTGGTCTCTCCGGTCCTCCCCCTCGGCAGTAGCCATCGGGCAGAAGCACAGGCCAGCCCCCCAGAAAGACTCTGGAGCTACCTCTGAACAGGCCACCCCTGCCCCCAGCCCCTGCAGCAGCAGTTCTCGGACCACCCGGCGGAAGAAGTAGCTGTGTCCTGAGAGGGCCGGATCCCCAGGACTGTTCTGGCCTCCAGCAGGACAGGACCCTGCCACCGTGCCTTAGCTGACCCCACAGGGCCAGGCATAGGTTTGGGGGACTGCCCCTGGGGTTTGTGGGGTGCCGTGTTGAGGGCTTTGGGCCCCCCAATGCCAACTACGCCCCTCCCCAGTACTCCTATTACTGCCTCCATGATTGGCCCAGGAAGGGGACACATAACCCAGCTCAAGACCCTTCCCCTGCCCTGGGCTGTGAGTCGGAGGAAGAGGCTGACTCACAGGGGAAGAGGGGAAGCACCGTCATCTTCATCATCATTTCCACACCAGCCCATCCTACTCTTTAGATCTGGGCACCAATAAAGGTATCTTTTGTGCTTGGCTATGTGCCTGGTGCTTCTTTCCAGGGAGGCCTGAGGATGGAGGTGTCTCCCCTGCACCAGGCAGTGGGCCTCCCAGAGTGCCATTGGACTCCTACGGCGTGGCTCCACGGGCACCCTCCTGCCCCAACCTCAGCATTCTCTGTAAAGTGGATTCGAGGGCTGGCCCCATGTTTCCCACTGCCTGACCACAAAGGAGCCTCAGGCCTGGCATGGCCCAGTGGACCGGTCAGCTCCATACTGCAAGGCCAGTGGTGGAGCTGGCCCCTTCCTTCTCTCCTGCTCCCACTTCTTGGCCTCAGAAAAGGATGGAAGGGCCCAAGTGGGCAAGGGCTGAATAAGAGATGAGGTAGGCGCCTTAGCAGAGCCTCCTCTGCAGAGTGAGGCCAGGGGAGGGGAGCTGGAGCCCTGGGTTGGGACAGAGGAGGGGAGGTGCATCTGATGCCCCGGCCTCTATCCTAGGAAGAGCACAGCAGTGGACACAGCAGTCAGAGCACCCACCAGGTTTCCATTTGGGATCAGGTTATCAATTGGAGGTCACCGCCTACCCTGGAAACTTAACAGCACAGCTTCCTCTGCCTCTGGCCCTATTCTCGGTACAGCCCCCGCCTCCTGCTCTCCTCCACAGACCCCTGCACGGCTCCCAGTGTACCCAGCTTCCTCATGTCGCTGACCTCTGGCCCACCCAGACAGAGTTCTGTGGTCAAACATAGCCTGTGGCATGAACTCAAATGCCTTCAGGGGCCCCTAAACGTGGAATAAATGATAGAGAAGTCAACTCTGGCTTAAAACAGTAATAGGCCGGGCACAATGGCTCACACCTGTAATCCCAGCACTTTGGGAGGCTGAAGCAGGTGGATCATCTCAGGTCACGAGTTCAATACCAGCCTGGCCAACATGATGAAACGTCTCTACTAAAAATATAAAAATTAGCCAAGTGTGGTGGGTGCCTTTAATCCCAGCTACTCTGGAGGCTGAGGCAGGAGAATTGCTTAAATCTTAAGTCTTTTTGAGACTGTCTCAAAAAAAAAAAAAAAGTTATATGTTTAAAACTCAAAAACCTGTTCCTAGACTTCCTTGTTTTCTAGACGGGGAAAACAAGGATGGAGTGCAGTTGTGCAGTCATGGCTCACTGCAGCCTCAGACTCCTGAGGTCAAATGATCCTTCTGCCTCATGCTGACACCACCACCCATGCCCCCCATGTTGCCCAGGCTGATGGTCTTAGGCTTTTTTTTTTTTTTTTTTTTTTTTTTTGAGACGGAGTTTCACTCTTGTTGCCCAGGCTGGAGTACAATGGAGCGATCTCGGCTCACCGCAACCTCCACCACGCGGGTTCAAGCGATTGTCCTGTCCCAGCCTCCCTACTAGCTGGAATTACAGGCATGCAACACGCCTGACTAATTTTGTATTTTTAGTAGAGATGGGGTTTCTCCACATTGGTCAGGCTGGTCTCAAACTTCTGATCTCAGGTGATCTACTTGCCTTGGCCTCTCAAAGTGCTGGGATTACAGGCGTTAGCCACCGCGTCCAGCAGTCCTAGGCTTTTAAGCTCATTTTGTGAATGTCTTCCGTGCTTTTATTTTGTTTTCTGTAACAGCTTTCTTGGTAAGTCACGTGCTATACAATTCACCCATTTTAATTGTACAATTCATTGGTTTTTATTATATTCACAGAGTTGCCCATCCATCACCAGAGTCCATTTTATTTATTTTTTGAGACAGTCTTGCTCTGTTGCCCAGACTGGAGTGTAGTGGTACAATCTCAGCTCACTGCAACCTCCACCCCCAGGGTTCAAGCGATTCTGCCTCAGCCTCCCAAGTAGCCGGGATTACGGGCACACAACCACACTTGGCTATTTTTTGTTGTTTTAGTAGAAATGGGGTTTTACCATGTTGGCCAGGCTGGTCTCAAACTCCTGACCTCAGGAGATCCACCCACCTCAGCCTCCCAAAGTGCTGAGATTATAGATGTGAGCCACCATGCCCAGCCCAGAGTCCATTTTCAAGCCTTTTCATCTCCTCCAGAAGAAACCTGGCCAGGTGTGGTTGCTCACACCTGTAATCCCAGCACTTTGGGAAGCCAGGTAGATGGATCACGTGAGGTCAGGAGTTCAAGACTAGCCTGACCAACATAGTGAAACCCTCTCTACTGAAAAAATAAATAAATAACAAAAAATTAGCCAGGCATGGTGGCAGGCGCCTGCAATCCCAGTTACTCAAGAGGCTGATGCAGGAGAATCACTTGAACCCGGGAGGCAGAGGTTGTGAGCGGAGTTCACCACTGCACTCCAGGAGCCTGGGCAACAAGAGCGAGACTCTGTCTTAAATACAAAAAAAAAAAAAAGCCACCCTGTACCCTTTAGCCGTCGGCCTTTGACCACTCCCTGCCAAGCCCTGAACAACTATTCATCTATCTCTTTCTCTGTGGATTTACCTCTGAACGTTTCCTGTAAATTGGATCATGTAACGTGGGACCTTTTGTGTCTGGCTTCTTTCACTCAGCATGATGTTTTCAAGGCACGTCCACTTGGTGGCATGTATCTGTGCTGTGTTCTTTTTATGGTTGAGTGGCAGTCCAGTGTATGGAGTGACCACGTTTTTCCTATTCTTACTCATATATCCATGGTCACTTGGGTGGCTTCCACCATTTGCTATTGTGGATAGTGCTGCTGTGAACATTTGGGTATACAAGTTTTTTGTGTGGGATTACAGGTGTGAGCCACCACACCTGGCTAATTCTTGTATTTTTAGTACAGACAGGATTTCACCATGTTGGCCGGGCTGGTCTGGAACTCCTGACCTCAGGTGATCTGCTCACCTCAGCCTCCCAAAGTGCAGGGATGACAGGCATGAGCCACCACAGCTGGCCTATGTAGAACTGATTTGATGAGAAGCAGAGTCTCTGATAGATGCAGTGGCTAAGACACTATTTGGTTGAAGGACCACATAGGCTGCGCAGGGAGGTTTTCTCCACATAGGGAGGAAAACACACAGGCAAGGACTAGTAAAATGCAAAAAAATAATAATAAATAAAACCACTTGAACTTGTCAAAGAAATTTCTAGAAATATCTTCTGGAGGCTGGGTGCGGTGGCTCACGCCTGTAATACCAGCACTTTGGGAGATTGAGGCGGGTGGATCACGAGGTCAAGAAATTGAGACCATTCTGGTCAACAGGGTGAAACCCCGTCTCTACTAAAAATACCAAAAAAATTAGCTGGGCATGGTGGTGCATGCCTGTAGTCCCAGCTACTCGGGAGGCTGAGGCAGGAGAATTGCTTGAACCCAGGAGGCGGAGGTTTCAGTGAACCGAGATCGTGCCATTGCACTCCAGCCAGGGTAACGAGCGAAACTCCATCTCAAAAAATATACATATCTTCTGGAAAAATGGACTCTTGGTACTATAAAAATGATGCTTTTTGGAGAATAATTTGGCAATACTTGACAGGGGAAACAATTATTATAAGAATATGTTAGCCAGCACAGTGGCTCACTTAAGGTCAGGAGTTTGAGACCAGGCTGGCCAACATGGTGAAACTTTGTCTCTACTAAAGACACAAAACTTAGCTGGGCATGTCGAGACGCTGTGGCTTATGCCTCTTATCCCAGCACTTTGGGAGGCCGAAGCCGGCAAATCACAAGATCATGCCACTGCACTCCAGCCTGGGCAACAGAGTGAGACTCCATCTCAAAAATAATAATAATAATAAATAATAATAATATGTTATCAGGCCAGGTGCGGTGGCTCATGCCTCTAATCCCAGCACTTTGGGAGGTTGAAGTGGACAGATCAAGAGGTCAAGAGATCAAGACCATCCTGGCCAACATAGTAAAACCCCATCTCTACTAAAAATACAAAAATTAGCTGGGTGTGGTGGTTTATGCCTGTAATCCCAGCTACTCAGGAAGCGGAGGCAGGAGAATTCCTTTAACCCAGGAGGTGGAGTTTGCAATGAGCCAAGATACACCACTCCACTCCAGCCTGGCAACAGAGTGAGACTCTGTGTGAATATATATGTACATATACATATGTATATGTTTTCTCACTTTAGGGTATACATTCTGGGAAAATGATTTAAAAGAAAAAATATTTGCATAGAGACATTTGTGGCTGCTCTATAATACTACAGTCATTAACTGGAAACTTTTTGAGGTGATAGCTAAGCAGGTTGGGGTCCATTAGGGGAATGAGCTACTGCCTTTCTGTATGACAGCTATTGAGAAAAAATAGTTATGTGATGCAATCATAATTTAAAAAAGAGAATCTGGGCCAGGCCTGGTGGCTTATGCCTGTAATCCCAGCACTTTGGGAGGCTGAGGCAGGCAAATCACCTGAGGTCAGGAGTTCGAGACCAGCCTGGCCAACATGATGAAACACCGTCTCTACTAAAAGTACAAAAAAAATAGCTGGGCATGGTGGTATGCACCTATAATCCTAGCTACTCAGGAGGCTGAGTCAGGATAATCACTTGAACCCAGGAGGCGAAGGTTGCAGTGAGGCAAGATCATGCCACAGCACTTCAGCCTGGGTGACAGAGCAAGACTCTGTCTCAAGAAAAAATAAAAATAAATAGGGGATCTGGAATTATGATTACATAATGATAGCCACAAGAGAAAGTACTGCCTGAATAGTTACCAAGTGGAAGTAGGTCCAGAATTTGTAAATAGTCAGTGATTTTGGAGATAGATATTTTTTCAGTTATTTTGTGCTGTTATTCATATGTGTGCATTTCTACTTCAGTTATTATTCTCCATTATATAACATACATGCTTGAATATGTCAAGATAATATACCTCTATAAGTGATATCCAAGGATAAATACTAGGTTTGAGAATGAATGTGTCAGAACAAATGAGATCGTTCTAAGAGAGAGGAAGCAGGAGCCAGGGAGGATCCTCCTCCCTGGTGGCCAGGGCTCAGCAGGGAGGCAGGGCCATAAGACCTAGGAACCGCCCCATGGATGTTTGCAGAGGTCAGCCTCCCACTGCCTCCCAGGGTTGGATTG